TGTAAAAGTCATCCAAGTCTCCCAGGAACCTCGGTTCCTGGAAATGGTTGTCAGTAGGACTAACATCACTTGGGAATAGTAGTCCTACTGGGACTTACCGGTAGAGGGCAAACGGTGCCATTTGGCACGGTTTAGAACCATGATTCAGCTAGTAAAAATTCTAATTTCAAGAAGGGACCATTGGTGAGATTTTTTTCAAAAATCAAAGGGGAGGGGTCAGGACCCCCTGACACCCCCTCCCCCCTTAATCCGCCACTGTATGTATCATATGTCTCCTGACGGGACTACAAAATGTACGAAGTACAAGAAGAGGAAGTTGAGGGTAATTCTGGTATTTTCTCTAACTGGAAACTACATTTTGAAGTCCGCTCAAGACTGTGCACAATTTATTCAATAATGCCCAGAGTGACTCCACAGTTGACATTAAAATGGTTTAGACTATTGAAAGCAAAAATTTGTTATGTTTGCAACAGCTATTGTTTAGCTGAATCTCAGTGTTTTTGCAAATTAATAATAATACAGACAGTTAACATAATCAAAACGTACTTGTTTTATTTCCAATACATCAAATTGTATATAGGAGTAGTACCACTAAAGTTTCCTGCAAAGGCTTATCTTTATGATTCTTGTGAAAATATATATCAATCAATTCACAAGAAAAAATAATAAAATAAAATAATATTAACTAATTTCTTTAACAGACAAAAATAACACTACTGTTCACAATTAAACTACAATACGTTAAAAAGTAACTGTGAATGAAATTATGTATATGTTGAACTGCGAAGGAGAAAACTGCTCAAAGCGATAAAATTGATTATCTTCATGTCCTTACGTATATATTAATTTAATTCACTAATAACTTCCGAACTTTCACTTTGTATGTATAAAACAAACAAAGTGCCAGCTAAGTCACCTTTCAGGTGCGTTCATTACATTTACCACAATTCAAACATGTGTCAAAACATATAAGTCATTAGAGAGTTTTGGCAAGGCCTTCCGTACGACGTATAACGTGCGACGTCATCACTTTGTGCGTAGTTTTTCTCAAGGACAAGTCATACGTCATACGGCACTACGTATAAATTGGAGATTACACGGAGGTAAGAAACGTATCGAATTTAATAGATTTACGCTTATTTCTTTCAAGTTTAACATACTGCAGAGGAATATATAGGGTGTTAAGATTCCACTGAATCACTTTTAGACGCTGTCGGTAGAAATGCTCTGTGAAAACAGGCGGAAAAACAGCCAGTCAATCAGTCGTCCGTAGTAGTATCAAATTCAATTTAAGTTGATTTTTTATCATAAACAACAGGATCTAAGGCATCAATTGACGTAAATAACACATTCCATTCAACATTTTAATTATTCATCTATCTAAAAAGAATCCTTAAGCAGCCCCATGTTCGTGTAATCCATATATATAGGCCTATACCCTTATCATTTTATTTCTTTGAATTGCAGATAATCATAATATAATAGCCTAATATGTCAGCCAAGAAAAAATCTATAATTTTTACTGATGACATAGACGAGATGTTGCTGAAGGAGGTAAACTTCTACAACCCATTTAAAACCCCAGCTCGCTGGACAGAAGTAGCTGAATCTTTGACTGGTCTGTTAGAGTTAACAAGTCCTTGCACTGCAAGAACTGTGAAAGAAAGAACTGTCAGGATTATTGCTAAGTGGAAAAGTAGTGAACTTGCATCCCAAAAAGCGTGAGTAACTGAATATATCAATCAAGGATTTTTTTAATTTGCAAATTCAACTGACATGTCTTATGCATCTTTACAGAAAATTTTATTTTTAGATTATTTTTTAAATTTTAAGTTGGCATAATTTTGCACGTTTCATTCTGTGTTCCTCTTTTATTTTATGATATGAACACATTGTTCCCTATGTTATGGGCAATAGGTTTTCTCTGTAGAAAAGAAATTTGTAAGATGATTATGCATTGATCAATAAATAATTTTTGTGTTATTATAGGAGTGGCATTCAACAAGATTACACAGAGTTACAGAAACTGATGATTGATGTTACTGAATTAGAGAAGGAGGCAGAAATAGAAATTGCTGAAAAAAGAAAGACAACGAATCCTAAAATGAAAGCAAAAACTGACGCAGAAAAACTTAAAGAGGGAAAAGCAGTTCGAGATAAAGCACTGCTGTGCTTCTCTAAGAAAGGAAAATTGGATGGTAAGATACTACATTTTGATTAGGACATTGAAATGCCAAAAGGATGTTAAAATTGGGGGTTAAAGAGGACCCCGCCAAAACTAATATTAGACGAATTTTCCCAGAGTAAATGGCATTTTCTCCCAACTTGCCCACCTTATATCTTCCATTTCTGACACTCGCCATAGATCTGTAACAATTTTGGAAAAAATGCGAACATCAAAACCCGCGCTTAAGCGCGGCTTTGTCCCAATAGCTGACTACTTAGATTTGAATAGGGGACAGTGAATATAACTATGTCTTTTGGTATTGTTTAAGGTGATCTATCTGTCAATTTATGTTTTAAAAGTTTTAATTGACCTCAGGTGAGTTCAAAAAGTCTCGATTCATGCTTTTTCATTACAGTCAGAATCCTCTTTTGTGTCCCTTTAAATTAATTTAAATTTTAATTTTAATTAGTTTAATTCAATATTTCAGGTGTGAAAGATGAGATGAATGAAAGGCCAGAACAAGAAACCGAGAACCAGGATTCTGACAGTAAGTAGATATTATTTTGACTTGGTTACTAGTCATTATGAATGGGAGAGGTTTTCTTATAGGCCCCTAATCATTTTCTATAGAAAATATATTTTTTTAATCTTAAAGAAGTCATTTTTCTATCATCACCACCTTTCTTGTTTGAATCTTACTTATATATCTTATTGCATGATGATTCCAGCTGGTGATGTGGAACCTCCAAAACCAAAGAAGATAAAGAAAAAGGCAAAAGAGGACCCCTTGCTTAGCATCTTAGCGAGAAAGCTGGAGCTTGATGAACTAAAAGAACAGCGTAAAATGCAAGAACTTGAAATCAGAAAGCAGGAGTCTGAAAATCAAAAGGCCCTTATTGGTGCACTTATTAATCAAAAGAGCAACTGATATTTGGAGAACTCTACTACTGATCAGTAATTAACATGCCATTTGCAAATTAAAAGGAAGAGAGATTTTTGTTTATACAGTTTATTTCATTTTAAAAGTTTAAAGTTTTTTCACATAGTTTCATTTTAAAATAAATTTTTCAATTTTGAATACTGTGTTTTCTTATTTATTATTCATAATCATAATATTGCAAATATTCCTCTAAACTTGGTGGATCGATATGAAAAAAAAAAAATCAGTCGTTTCTGATCCATATAAACAGGTATGGCAATTAACTAATAGAGCTGCAACCAGATACATCTTGCCAATAGGTTGAAGACAAAGTTTATGGTTTTTCTTATAGTCTAGGAAGGCAAAGTTTTCAACAATTTTGCCGAATGTCCACTCTACAGATATTCTAACAGCTGACATGGAGGCATTGAACATCTGTTGATCAGGTGTTGGATTTCTGAATGGAACCTGTATTTCTGGTCGTAAAGGATATGCTGGATCCCCATAGATGCAGCCTTGTTCTCCATTTATCTGAATTTCTGAGAGTTCCAGTATTATACCACTCATGCGGAGTAAGGCAGAATCATGTCTCGATCCTTCAACTGGACCAAACATATTTGCTATTAATCCATTTGGTGCAGTGATGCTCTGATATTTCAGGGCATGTGTCCGTTTGTGTCCATTATAGCACACTTGTTGCCCTTCCTGAGGCCTACACATAGGCCGCACAGTGCCGTCTATAAAGCCCCAGCAGTTAGCAAGTGCAGCCCCCTTAGCTTGGATAGCTGCAGCAAATAGTTCATATCCATCTGTCAGCCATTCTTGGTCACGCAGAGATTGTAGGATATGTCCATTGTTTTCATAGATAACGTCAAGAGTTGTAGTGAATATTTGGGATAGGTTACAAGATGGTCTGTCAAATACTTCTTCGAGGTCACACAGTCTATTAGGGTTATGCCAATCTACGTAACAATATGCACAATGCGTCTACTCCGGTTGATACAGTTCTATCTGGACAGATCAAAACGTCAGGGATGCCCAATGCATTTTGAAGTCTGCCAATGTTATCCTTTTGAAATCTTGTCATAGAACATATTTTTGCCGAAGTTTGGTCATCAAAAACAAACTTGCCATAGTCAGGATCATATGTGGAGTCTCTTCGTCGCTTGTAATTTTCGAAGACGAGCGTAGTTTCTACGTCAAAGTCGAAAATTTGTGCACAAATCAACTTCCGCTTGGATGTCCAGGGCGCGGCCATTTTGGAACTAGCGGCTACTGGCGGAAAAAAACCGCATACGTAGTGAGACCTGCCAAAACCACTTCTAGCTATCTTGCGTACGTAAAACGTATTACGTATTGATCTATACGTTACACGTCATACGGAAGGCCTTGCCAAAACTCTCTATTAAACGATATACTTATACGTAAATACTTCCCCAATGAGTAATCCAAACATTGTCCCAACAACAAGCTCCCCGTTACTGTTGGCAGTGACTAAACTATGGTCACTCCCTGTCAAAATGTTACGTAGAAATCTTCCGTCTGAACCAAGGACAACCACCCTGTGATTACCGTAGTCAGCTATGAATATGTGTCCAAACTTATCTACGCACACTCCCTGTGGATTACTCAGTTGTCCGTCTCCACTTCCACTCTGACCTCGTGCTCCGTATTGGAACATGACGTCACCCTGGGGTGTCACTGCATACACAGAGTCGGTCCTGCAGTCGCTGATTATGATTGCATTGATGCCGTGGTGGTATGCGCAGTGCAGTGCGCTCTTACTGCACATTGGGATAGGAATTCTGTTAACCAGTTGAAAAGATTTTATGTCGTACACACAGATGCACTGTGCACCACTATCACACACGTACACCTTACCCTCTGTACGGTCCAAAGTGACACCCCAGGGGTCAGACATATCACCCTGACCAAAACATCGGATAACTTGACCTGATGTTGAATACAGTCTACAGCATTTATCTACGCATGTGACAGCGAATCTATCCTTAATGACTGTAGTGATACACCTCACCCCTCCCTCTATACTGATATCACGATTACATTGACCTGTGCTGGAGAATACGAACACTACATCACGACAATTGTAATCACCAAGTAAAACTAAAATACAACCGTCATCTGTGGACTGGATATCCAGGGGCAGCATCCTCAGGTTAAAACAAATATTCCGCTCCAGCTTATCAAGCCAGGTTACCTTCAGAAATTCATTCAGCGCAGGATAGTCCGCTCTGTTTTGTTTTAAACTTCCAAAATACGCATCCAAGGAACCCTGGTATGTTTTGGCGGTAATGGACCCCGTTTTGATGGACAGCTTTGGTTCAGGAATTTTAGGAAACTGCAACACAACGTCCATTTGAGTTTGTCCTGGCGTAAATGTTACGTCGGTGATATTGGTATCAAACACTGCTTCTACTGTCTCTAACTCCTGAATTCTAGTTTGGAGTTTTTTAGAGTGGGTTATGACTTCGATGTCAGAACCGGTGTCTGTGAGTTGCTGAGCGAAATCACGTATGCTCTGAATGGAAATCTTGTTCATTTCTTGCTTGTCCTTTTCAGCTTCTAAAGTTTTCACCTGCGTGGAGGTGAGTGCCTTAACTTTTGTCGTTATTTCGTTGCTTTTGTCATCTATAACTTTCTGCATTTCGATGTAATCTGACTGTACTTTTGTTTCATAAGTTTCCAGATGCTGTTTGACAGTGCTCAAATATTCGTCCGTCTGTTGACGTATGTCCTTTTCTATTTGTTGATAGTAATCTTTAATTTCTCTTTCAATCGTTTTACTGTTTTCTTTTATCTCCTTAGTCATAGATAATTGCTGAGAATCCACCAAACGAAGAACCTTTGTCTGATTTTCAGTCAGCCTTTCTTTAGTTTCCACAATAACCTTGTCTGCCTTTTCAAAACGAGTCAGTTTTTCAGTATTTAGGCATTTAAGCTTTTCTTGTAGTAGATCTCGTTGAACTTTCACCACATCCCCTATTTTTTTAAAGTCATGTTTACTGTGAGTTTCCAAAATACAATCTCTACATGCCACGGTGTCATCCCCTTCACAATAGAATGTCAACAACTCGCCGTCGTGTTTGTCACAGAATTGAGTTTTATCTAAAACATGTCTCAATTGTTCTCGTACGCTAGCTGGGTTAACTGAGAAATCGACTTGGGACAGAGGTACAAAGTGATGTCCATTTAACGCAGGGATGCTGTCATGTAATTCACGACATGTAGCGCAGAGATGGTTGGTTTTTGGACATCCTTGACACAGCAAAGTGGCCTCTTTATGCTTACAATACTCACAAAGTCTCCCCACAAGCGCTTTCTGATCTTTCATGAAATCAGTTACTTTTCTTAGGAAGAAGTTTTTCACAAGAGTTTCTAATCCACCTGGTGGTACAGGGGCCTCTTGGCGACACACGGGACAGGAGAACTTGTTCTGGACACCATTCTTGTCTGCATGGTCAGCAATGCATTCCAGACAGAACGTGTGGTAACAGGGGAGCACTCTCGGGTCTTTATATTCCTCCAGACATATATGACACGTTAAAAAGTTCTCACTGAAGACGTTACACAGCTCTTTCGAAGCCATTGCCATGGTATTGTAACATAACCGGGTCGCACTACGATCCTTCCTGTATCTTGATGAAGTTTACTTCTAGTTAGCCCTGTTTGAGCTGAATTTAAACGATCGCTTTGCTACGTAAACATCCTGGAAAGGGAGCCGCCATCTTATAACGTCATACAGCCTTGACATATTTAGCATCACCTCGTGACCTTAGAATGTAAACAAACGACAATGCGGAATAGAAGGAATGAATACGTAGGCCCTATATGATGCGCACGGACAACTTAACAGAGATAGCAGAAAAAGAAAAAAAAGCAAGGGAAGTGGTGCAGTTGGAAAAATAGTTGAAGAAGGGAAGAAATGGGAGAAGAGACACGGCAGAGCTCAAACTTGAGTTTCACTCGTCTTTGGGACCGTAATGCATGCATTAACGTAATAGGAATTAAAACTCTTTAGTTGTGTTATTTTTAAGTTCCCTTGGTTTTGTCGGTTTTTATTTTATTTGTTCAGCGTCAGGCCATGAAGCAATTCTTACCGGTCATGAAGATCAAAAGACATGAGGAGGTGTAGGTGGAAATTCCTCACAGTCGGATACTGCAGGTGGAAATTCCTGAGAGATGGCCACTCCAGGTGGGGAAATTTCTTCTCTCTAAAACTGTAGGAGCGTAGTAAACCATGTGCCGTCAAAAAAAGAATGGGGTCATTCGGTAACGTTTCCGTGATTATTCTTTTTTATTTGAAATTTGATTCAACGTTATTATTTTTATTATGGTCACTGAACGAAACTGAATCCTGTGCAAATGTTAACATGTATTTTAACAATAATGACTTCAATTGTTTATGATTTACTAAAGTGCCTTTAGTTTTGGTTGTGTGCTATTAAAATTTCATAATCGATTTATACGTTTATTAGAGCTGTTTGTTTTTTACCTTTTTTGTGCTTGGGATATACATTCCCATGTGAAACTCAACATCTCTTCCGTCCCGCGATTGAAAAGACGTGCCCACGGGACCCTCGCTCATAAATTTATATGTGATCTCATATTGTATTAATTGGTTAAAAATGTGGATTTGTTTGTTTGGGCAATCATATTTCATATTGTATTTAATGTAATTTTTTTAATTTTTTTTTTTTTTTTTTTTTTTAGGGGGGGGGGAGGGTGGGTGGGTCATATTTCCTTTGCTTTATTTTGGTGTAATCTCGTGATCATATAACCGATATTTTATTATCGTCCAAGTTAAGGACACTATATTGATAACGACGTACTAAGTACACACATGTACAAACATTATACATTAACATGGCGCTATTTTATATCATTAAATGTGTAGCAGACCACCAGTTTTCCGGCTAAAACTCGGGTGAAACCAGCCCCAGTGCATGCTCTCTCTCTCTCTTTCTCTCTCTCTCTGTGTTAGGAGGAGAGAGAGAGAGAGCTATCCATATCCTTGTCATTGTTCTAGGTTAGAAAACTGTAATTATTATTAATTGATGTCGCGCCGTGAGATCTTAAATTGCCATTTACCAGTTACGATGAATTTTTAGAATGAACGTGTGGTAACAGGGGAGCACTCTCGGGTCTATTTATTCCTCAAGGCATATATGACAAGTTAGGAATGTCCTAGTGAAAGACGCTGTAGACCTCTTTAGATGTCATATGTGTGATAAAACCTGCTAGGGTTGGCATAGCTCTCCCCTGCTCGCAGACCGCCCAATTTTATCGTAAAGAATGTTGTTTGCCTGTATGTATTGTTTAGTAGGTTATCTACAGTAGGGCCTACTTCCAAATCGTCAAATGTTTAATCAGGAAATGTTGTATCCAAGTCAGTATCCAAAACGGAATCCATGTGTAGCCTGTTTTTGCTGAATATTGGACATTTGAGTAATACGCTGCGCTTCATGTATTTGAAGGAGATAACAAGAGAATCTACTCAGCATTTACATTGACATTTTTGTCGACTTCCACGTGTTTTTTCTTTATTTCATATCAGTTAGTTGACATTAACATTACAGTCGCTGTGTGTGTGTGTGTGTGTGTGCGTATGTGTGCGTATGTGTGTGTGTGTGCGTATGTGTGTGCGTATGTGTGTGTGCGTATATGTGTGTGTGAATGTGTGTGTGAGTGTGTGTGTGGTTGGGTAGGTGGGAGTGTAGGTGTGATAAAGGTGCCATTAATCTTAGGAGAGAGAGAGAGAGAGAGAGAGAGAGAGAGAGAGAGATGAAGAGAGATTTCTGCCGCGCACCCAGGTGAGAAATCTGATCTCCCTCAAAAATTCAAGCATTCCTCCTCTACGTCTCCTTTACATGGCAGGCTCAGGATGGCCAGCCGGATGGCCCTGTGGTTAGAGTGTCCGCCTCATGAGCGGGAGGACGTGGGTTCAAACGGTTTATAAACGGTACCTGCTGTCTCCCCGCTTGGCACTCAGCACTAAGGGGTTGAGGCAGGGGCCTGGTCAGGCAGTGCAGAAATGTTATATTAGCTATATGCTGCATGCTCCCCAGGGAGGTGAGACCGTCTACGGAGTGCACCAGTGCAAAAATGACCAGGCTTCCTTGACTTAAATATTCATATATGTAATTGTATAACTTCAACCTTCGGGTTGCGATTCTCCAATAAAGATTATTATTAGGCAGTTCATTATATTGAATAACATTGATATCTTGAGAAGAACGCCTATAATTTCATTATTAAGCTTTTTTATGTTTTTTTTTTTTTTTGTGGTTTTAAAGGGCTGCTTCGGGATGTTTGAGTTTTTTAACTGGAAGACCATCTGCAAGAACCAGTGTTGATTGGGTGACATGGAGGCGGTAACCGGTCGGGCAAGACGAGCAACGGGACGAAAACACGCGAACATCAGTTATGAATTGAAATCGGCGGCGTCGTAATTTAAAAAAGTAGCCAATTAAGCCATTTATTTGCATACACTCTGTTTCTTTTTTGATAAAAAGAAAATATCATGGCGAATGTTATTGAAAGTACATGGGAAATGTCGGCATCCACTGCTGGCGAGATAAATCAATGATATAAACAGAAACAAAATTAATTGCGTGTTGTTTATTGTGATCTATACTGGAATTGTAATAACGTTAATTATGTTCATCAAGTATGTAGATACATGTGCCGTTATTCTACTTCACATATTAGACATCAAGGAGCGGGGAAGGGTTCTAATGGGCTTATACCATTTTTATTTCAATCACGTCAGTTATAAGCGTGGGAAGATGGTGGAGGGGAGAATCTGCCTATTGTTCGTTGTATTTTACTCTCTGCCTCTTAATAAAATAATATACATCACAACAATGAGTGATAAAATAATATACATCACAACAGTGAGTGAAAAATCGTGCAAAGTGTATGAGCCATGAATTTCTGTAGCTAATTCAACAATGTATTTTGTGTTAAGTCGAGTCGGTAGCTTTCATGTAATTAAGGCACCAAGTTCTAGTACACGTGAACCGTGTTCAGTGGAAATAACGTTACTCCTCGGCTAGATAACTTTCAAAATGTTTTCATTTTTCAGAAATCACATCAACAATTTTGCAGGGACCTAGAGCTCGCGCACCCCTCCCTCTTACGCCCGCCGCACACAGAACGATTTTTCGTCGGCCGACACACTTACGACAAAATATCGGCCTGTCTGCACTGCTCCACGGCAACTTTTCAACTAGTCGGGAGAGAATCAAACATGTTTGATTTTTAAACGTCGCACCGTAGTGTGTGCGCTTTCCTACGACAATTTGTCGCGCTGATCATTATCTTCAGCCAATGGTTGCGCCATCTGATATCACGTGCCCACGTCAGAATTCAATTCAATTGAATATGATGGAAGGCCCTATAATTTTCTATTAGTATTAGTTTTCAGCGTCATAAACCATTTAACGACGTAACGCTGCATCGAGCCGACCAAATCTGTGTTAACTGGCAAACTGTTGTCATCCTATAGGCTGTATTTTATGGTCTATGAGTATTGCGTTGATTTAGAAAATTTGGGCATTTCAATTTGCTCATTTTCAATTAAATTAATTAAAGTAATCTTGTTATACTCTTACATTCAATTTTAACTCTTATCATTCCAATATCAGATATAAAATATAAATAGGCCTATAGAAACTTTTCCTGATTAAATTAAACAACGCCCCACCTCGCGGACGAGATAATAACTACGTCACTTTCACCACACCAGTCGGCGCTTTGTTGCCACAGCTTGTCATGTTGGTGCGCTGACCATATCCAGGACGACCGATCAGCCGACTTTTGTCGGCCGGCGAAAAATTGTTCTGTGTGCGGCGGGCTTTAAATTTCGATACATTATTCAGGAGCTATGACAAGCGTTCTATTTAATTAAAGTAGATACTCCGTTTTACCTAAGAATTATTATGTTTATTTTATCTGGTGAAAGTGTATTTTTCAATGAAGAATATCTCTTTTCTGGTGGACGGTGTCTCGGAGTATTATTCAAAATGCCCAATGATTTGATCATTAATCTTAACATACACTAATAGAACGTGTGTGTGTGTGTGTGTGTGTGCCATATATCAATAAATGTGAAATGTGAATTAATGCCATCATGCAAATTTTTTCCGCCTTTAAATGAAAGAGGTCATAAATAATAAAATGGTAAACATTTTTCTGCACGGCATCCTGTACGTTGCACTGTCACGTGTTGGCGCTAAGGATAGCTTGAACATCTGCTCTCTCACTTCTGCCACCTGCAATGTTGTGTACGAGGAAATATTCTAAGTGTTTAAGTCAGATCACTGTTTTTTTTTAATACATTCAAAAACAATGCATTTTTCTACAATATGTGTACTTTACCCTTCGAACCCGAGTGTTCTACCAATCCATTTCTACAATATGTGTACTTTACCCTTCGAACCCGAGTGTTCTACCAATCCATTTCTCGAACTATATTACTTAAGAGCCCAACGCGTCCTTTGGGAGGATACTTTTCGAGCATTAAAAGATAAGAGCACAGTCCTGGTGGCACTACGACGAACAGAGCCTAGTGAGAGAAAGCGGGGGTCCTGCCGGGATTTTCTTTAACTGGGCATTACATATTGGAGTCCCGTCAAAAGTGTGCATTTTTTGTTTAATAATGCCCGGAGCCACTAAATTTACAGTCGACATTGAAATGATTAAAAACATTATGAAAGGAATTGTTCTGCTTGCGTCTACTTTTGTAAAGCTGAATTTCTGTGCTAAGCAAAATAATATAAATAAAGACAACATAACCAAAGCTCATTTGATTTTATTTCTAAAGATCAATTTGTGATTTAAAGTAATGCCAGTAACCAACAATCTTATTTTTATATTTCTTGTTAAAATATATAAACTTTATGCCCGTGAATATTATTCACATGAAAATAAAAAAAGAAGATAATTTCAACTAATCTCAGACCCCATTCCCAGAGATTAGATCGATCCAACCAGATCGACCTAACTCCCTGGGGGTTCAAGCTAAATAGCTGTCAGCCGACCAGGCACGAAAGTTAATTACCCCCTTGCAGCTTGTAGTAACCGGGACGGACATTTAAGCCGGATAATCTGACCGTAATCAAGTGAGACTCCCCACCAGGATAGATCGATCTAAAATATATAGGAATGCGCACTCATAGTTTCATAGTTTCATTAACAGATAAACATGAAGCACACTGTTAACAATTAAATCCTAAAAAAAACAACAACTATCTGCATTGGGTCAAAGTGCTAAAAGTGATCAATCCTCATGCGCCTTTATGCTGACATTTGTCTTACTTATCTACAATTTATAGACATTTATATACATTATGCATATTAAACGACCATACATGTATTACCGCTTCATTCTAAGATTCGTTTGTTGTGTGTTCATTACATATTTCCTGTGATTAAAATCACAACCCTAACATTATCTCGGTGTCAAATCATTGCTAAGCGATATACTTATACGTGGATATTTCACCTCCCGAAACTCCAACAACAAGCTCCCCGTTACATTTCACATCAACTGACATAATGCCATAGCTCTTTGTCAAAAGGATACGTAGACATTTTCCGTCTGAACCAAGGACAACCACCCTGTGATTACCGTAGTCAGCTATGAATATGTGTCCAAACTTATCTACGCACACTCCATCTGGATAACTCTCACTCGTCTTCACTTCCACTCTGACCTCGTGCTCCGTATTGAAACATGACGTCACCCTGGGGTGTCACTGCATACACACAGTGGGCCCTGTTGTCGCTGACTATGATTGCATTGATGCCGTGGTGGTATGCACAGCGCAGTGGACCTTTACGGCACATTGGGATAGGAATTCTGTTTACAAGTTGAAAAGATATCGTGTCGTACACACAGATACACTGTGCACCGCTATCACACACGTACACCTTACCCTCTGTACGGTCCACAGTGACACCACAGGGGTCAGACATATCACCCTGACCAAAACATCGAATAACCTGACCTGATGTTGAATACAGTCTACAGCATTTATCATCACATGTGACCACGAATTTATCGTTACTGACTGTAGTGATACACCTCACCCCTCCCTCTATACTGATATCACGATTACATTGACCTGTGCTGGAGAATACGGACACTGTATCACCACCATAGCACCAGCGAACACCATGTAAAACTAAAATACAACCGTCATCTGTGCACTGGATATCCCACGGCAGACCCTTCACGTTCAAACAAATATTCCGCTCCGACTTATCAAGCCAGGTTACCTTAATAAATTCCTTCAGCGCAGGATAGTTCGCTCTCTTTTGTTTTAAACTTCCAAAATATGCATCCAAGGGACCTCGGCATGTTTTGGCCGTAATGGACCCCGTTTTGATGGACAGCGGCTGTGGTTCAGGGATTTTAGGTATCTGTAGCACAACGTCCATTTCTGTTTGTCCTGGTGTAAATGTTATATCGGTAATCATGGTATCAAAGACTCGTTCTACTGTCGCTAACTCCCGGATTCTAATTAAGAGTTTCTTAGAGTGGGTCATGACCTCTATGTCAGAACCGGTGTCTGTGAGCTGTTGAGCGAAATCACGAATGCTTTGAATGGAAATTTTGTTCATTTCTAGCTTGTCCTTTCCAGCTTCTAAAGCCTTCACCTGCGTGGAGGTGAGTGCCTTAACTTCTGTCGTTATTTCCCTGCTTCTGTCATTTATAAATCTTTTCATTTCGGTGTAATCGGACTGAACCTTTGTTTCATATGTTGCCAAATGTTGTTTGACAGTGGTCAAATATGCGTCGGTCTGTTGACGTACGTCCTTCTCTACTTGTTGATAATAATCTTTGATTTCTCTTTTAAATGTTTTACTGTTTTTATTTATCTCCTTAGTCATAGCTAATTTTTGAGAATCTACCAAACGGAGAACCTTTGTCTGATTTTCAGTCACTACGTCTTCGGTTTCCATAATGACTTTTTCTGCCTTTTCAAAACGAGTCAGTTTTTCGGGTGTTAGACATTTAAACTTGGCTTGTATTAACTCCCGTTGAACTCTCACCACATCCCCTATTTTTTTAAAGTTATGTTTACTGTGAGTTTCCAAAATACAATCTCTACATGCCACGGTGTCATCCTCTGCACAATAGAATGTCAGCACCTCGCTGTCGTGTTTGTCGCAGTATTGAGCTTTATCTAATACTTGGCGTAACTGTTCTCGTATACTAACTGGGTTAGCTGACGGTTCTACTTGTAACAGAGGCACAATCGAATGATCCTCACATGCCGGTATTTTGTCGTGAACCTCGCGACATGAAGCGCACAGTTGGTTGGTTTTTGGACATCCTTGGCACATGAAAGTGGCCTCTTTATGGTTACAATATTCACAAAGTCTTCCCTCGGGCGCTTTCTGATCTTTCATGAAGTCTGTTACTTTTCTTAAGAAGAAGTTTTTCACGAGAGTTTCTAACCCACCTGGTGGTACGGGGGCCTCTTGGCGACATACGGGACAGGAGAACTTGTTCTGGACACCATTTTTGGCTGCATGGTCAGCAATACATTCCAAGCAGAACGTGTGGTAACAGGGGAGCACTCTCGGGTCTTTATATTCCTCCAGGCATATATGACACGTTAAAAAGTTCTCACTGAAGACGTTACGCAGCTTTTTCGAAGCCATTGCCATGGTATTGTAACATGACCAGGTCGCACTACGATCCTTCCTGTATCTTGGTGAAGTTTATTTCTAGTTAGCCCTGTTTTAGCTGAATTTTAACGATCGCTCTGCTACGTACTAAACAGCCTGAAAAGGGAGCCGCCATCTTATAACGTCATACAGCCTTGACATATTTAGCATCACCTCGTGACCTTAGAATGTAAACAAACGACAATGCGGAATAGAAGGAATGAACACGTATGCTCTATATGATGCGCACGGACGACTTAACAGAGTTACATGTAGTAGAAAAAGAAAAAAAACGCAAGGGAAGTGTTGCAGTTGGATAAATAGTTGAAGAAGGGAAGAAATGGGAGAAGAGGCACGACAGAGCTGAAATATGAGTTTCACTTGTCTTTCGGACAGAATGCGTGCATTAACGTAATAGGAATTAAAACTCTTTAGTTGCGTTATTTTTGAGTTCCTTTGGTTTTGTTGGTCATAAAGATCACAGATGTAAATTCCTGAGAGATGATCACTCCAGGTGGGAAATGTTTTACTTTTCAACCAAGACTGTAGGAGCGTAATAAACCATGGGCCGTCGAGATAAGAATGGAGCCATTCAGTATCGTTTCCGGGATTATTATTTTTTATTTGAAATTTGGTTCAACGTTATTATTTTTGTTATGGACACCGAAGGAAATTGTGAACTTTGTGCGTACGTTAAAATGTATTTTTGAATTGCGTAACAATAGTGACGTAAACTGCCTATGACTTACTCAAATGACTTTAATTTTGCTTGTGCTATTGAAATTTTATAATCGATTTGCACGTTTATTAAAGCTGTTTGTTTTTCCTTTTTTTTTTTTTTTTTTTTTTTTTTTTGTGCTTGGGGGTATACCTTTTTTCTTTTCCAGTCCCGCGAATAAAATGACGTGCCCAGGGGACCCTCCCGGGGTGGTCTCATATATTTATATGTGATCTCATATTGTATTGATTGGTGAAAAAAAAAAAAACGTGGAGTTTTTCGTTTGGGCAATCATATTTCCTTTGCATTATTTTAGTGTAACCTCGTGATCATATAACCAATATTTTATTATCGTCCAAGTTAAGGACACTATATTGATATCGACATACTTAGTACACACAAGTATAAATATTATACATTAACCTGGCGCTATTTTATACATCATTAAATGTGTAGCGGACCACGAGTAAAAACGAAGAAACACCGTTGGATATGACTGCTGTTTATTCACGCAGTGTGAACAGATTTGATCGAACAGAAAACTATAAAAAGAAAATAATAATAATAATAATAATAATAATAATAATAATAATACAGTAAAATATGGAGATAAATAAACTAAATATACTAAATAACTTAATGTGGTCTTATAAAAAAATCAATCTTTACATACTTGTAAGTTTACTTCACTAATTACTNTTGTTCGTGCTTGGGGTATACCTTTTTTCTCTCCAGTCCCGCGAATAAAATGACGTGCCCAGGGGACCCTCGCGGGGTGGTCTCATATATTTATATGTGATCTCATATTGTATTGACTGGTGAAAAAAAAAAAAACGTGGAGTTTTTCGTTTGGGCAATCATATTTCCTTTGCATTATTTTAGTGTAACCTCGTGATCATATAACCAATATTTTATTATCGTCCAAGTTAAGGACACTATATTGATATCGACATACTTAGTACACACAAGTATAAATATTATACATTAACCTGGCGCTATTTTATACATCATTAAATGTGTAGCGGACCACGAGTAAAAACGAAGAAACACCGTTGGATATGACTGCTGTTTATTCACGCAGTGTGAACAGATTTGATCGAACAGAAAACTATAAAAAGAAAATAATAATAATAATAATAATAATAATAATAATAATAATACAGTAAAATATGGAGATAAATAAACTAAATATACTAAATAACTTAATGTGGTCTTATAAAAAAATCAATCTTTACATACTTGTAAGTTTACTTCACTAATTACTTAATTCCAAACACTTACACTAAAACAATATCCATACCCGGTTTTTTCCAACTGGCTGCCCAGAGGCGGTCATGACAATCTGAGCTGTGACTGTAATTTATTTTAATTAAAATACGTAAAATATATGTACATGTCGTTCATGAAAATGCCACATCCATACCACCATACACTTTGATGAACAGAATGCCCATAACTTACATTACTGATTATTATTATAAAAAAAATATGTAAACTTATGTAAACAATATACTTCTATATTAAGTGAAATATAAATTACACCATAGTAAATACATAAATTTCACACAAGCTACATGTAATATCAAACCATACCTTCACTCTGCCAGTAAGTAATAAATGACCGCGCAGAGCACATGCGACATCGCCTTTTATACAGTTGACCACATAACTAATTGGCTGTGTTAGTGGTTTCTTCTCTAACACAATCTAAATAAACATAAGAACATCGTGGAAATAAAAATGAAAATGATCAAGAAGTATATGATTTCTGCCGTGTCGGCAACAAAATGACTTAAATTAAAATAATGTTGAATCTTATTGGTGTAGTTTTGTACAGACGACGTACAGAGAGTTGTAAAAAGTCAAATATTGAGTTGAAACTTTAGACCAGTTTTCTGACCAAAAACCAGCCCAGTGCATGCTCTCTCTCTCTCTCTCTCTCTCTCTCTCTCTCTCTGTGTGTGTGTGTGTGTGTGTGTGTGTGTGTGTTAGGAAGAGAGAGAGGGGGAGAGAAGGAGCTACATGTATCCATATCCTTGTCATTGCTTGAGGTTAATAAGTTGGGCTCCGTAACTCGAAAGCATCAAGCATTGCGACCGAGCGCAAGTCTTGATTGTCATAACCCCCATATGGGGCGAGGATGGGCGAGTTTTGGACCCTTGCGCTCAGTCGCAATGCGAGTTACGGGGCCCTGATCTCCGCTGCGAGAATTACAACCTACAAGTAAAACACAGCTGTGGAGCGCATTACATTGAATGACTTTGGTATGTTGCCAAATTTGCATCTAGTTATTATTATTACTATTATTATTATTATTATTATTATTATTATTATTATTATTATTATTATTAATCGATATCACGCCGTGATCTTAAGTTGGCATTTACCAGTTACGATGAATTTTCAGAAAGAACGTGTGGTAACAGGGGAGCACTCTCGGGTCTATTTATTCCTCCAGACATACCGGTATATGACAAGTTACGGATTTCCTAGTGAAAGACGCTGTAGAGTTCTGTAGGTGCCATATTTGAGATAAAACCTGTTAGTGTGGGCACTGCGCTACTCTTCTCGCACGCTGCCCAGTTTTATCGCAAATAATGTCGTTTGCCTGTATGTATCGTTTAGTAGGTTATCTACAGTAGGGCCTACTTCAAAATCGTTAGGACGAATTTTTAAATTTAGTCATTCCGGCTGGTTCTGCTTGATTCCTGCTGTTTCCGAATAAATGTGACAGGGGCTTTACATGGCAAGCTCACCTAGAGAAGACATTATATTGAATAAGTTTGATATATAAACAAGAATGCCTATAATTTTAACAATAAGCTTTTTTTTTTATAGTTTTACAGTAGAACAGCTGGAAGGATAGTGTTTCAACGGCGGAACATACGAGTTGTGTGCTGTGAACAGGTGCATGGAATTAAAGGGTTGCTACGGGAGGTTTGAGCTTCTTTACTGGAAGACCACCTGCAGGAACCAGTGTTGATTGGGTGACACGGAGGCGTTAAATGGCCGGGCAAGCCGAGTGGTGGAACGGAAATTCACGAACATCATTTATGAATTGAAATCGGCGCCCTCGTAATTCAAAGAAGTAGCCAATTAAGTCATTTATTTGCAGACACCCTGTTTCTTTTTCATGGAAAAAAACTTAGTAAATGTTTTCAAAAGTGTATGGAAAATGTCGGCATCCACTGCTGGCGAGATTAATTAATGATATACAGAGGTATAAATAGAAACAACATTAATTGTCTGTTGTTAATTGTGATCTATACTGGAATTGTGTTAAGATAAAGTGTCTTTCTTAACTACGTAGATACAAGGGCGATTGTTCTGTCTTTTCTACTTCACACATTAAGCGTCTAGGAGCGGGGAGGGGTGCTAGTGGGCTTGCACCGTTTTTTTTTTTTTTTTTTTATCACGTCAGTTATAAGCGTGGGAAGATGGTGGGAGGAGAAAATCTGCCTACTGTTGAATGTATTTTACTCTCTGCCTCTTAATAAAAGGATGGACTTCACACAAGTATGAGCCCAGAATTTTTGTAACTAATTCAACAATTAAACTTGTATTAAGTTGAGTCTGTACCTTACATATTATTTTAGGTGCCACGTTATAGTACACATGAACCATGTTCAGTGGAAATAATGTTACTCCCCGGCGGGATAATTTTCAAAATGTTTTCAATTTTCACAAATCACATTAACGATTTCGCAGACGCCTAACTCGCACCCCTCCCTCTTACCGCTAATCTCGATGGCAGTGAGTACCTGCCACGCGCTGTGTCACCGTGTATAAACGGTCCAATAAGTCTTCGACAGTAGTTTGATGACGATTTTCGATAGTCGTTTTGTCAGAGGACACTATTAGTTGGAATGCGTTCGCTGAAAACAACAACGTCTCTGAGCAACAAACGACGCAAGTAATTGATACAATAGGAGTCTCAAAGCTGTACGTGAAATATTACGAGTGTATTGTAGAGCCGAAGTAATTGTTACGTACAGCTTGGCGACGAGTGTTGTATCTGGCT